AGTCATGCTCTGCATTTTGGTTCATTTTGATTTTAAGCTGGGTCTACCAAAGTATAGTATTTTGACTTTTTTTTTTTTTTTTTGCGGTACACGGGCCTCTCACTGACGCGGCCTCTCCCATTGCGGAGCACAGGCTCCGGACACGCAGGCTTAGCTGCCATGGCTCACGGGCCCAGCCGCTTCGCGGCATGTGGGATATTCCCGGACCGGGGCACGAACCCGTGTCCCCAGCATCGGCAGGCGGACTCTCAACCACTGCGCCACCAGGGAAGCCCTGAAGTTTTTTTAAGGAAGGTGATAAGTCATGGAAGTCATCTTACATACTAAAGTATTTCTGGCTTTTTGTACAAGATTTTTGGAGAACAACAAAAGAGAAAATGCACTGATGTTATTTGGAGTGAGGTGAACAACATGTGGCCTGTGTTTCCTAAAGGAACATTCTCTCCTTTGAAACGAACCGAGCAAGCAAACAAAAACAAAATCCTTTTTCATGGGATTACTTCCTTAAGCCTAGAGAGTAAAAATGTATATGATGGAAGCTTAAAAGCAGTTTAGTTAGTAAAAGCATGTGACAAAATGAGACTTTTCTCCATTTGACAAGAAGCCTCCATACTCAGAGAAGGGACTCTGTCTTGACACAGTGTGTGGTTAAATTTCATCTTAATTGAACCTAGCTTTGACCAACTAATCTGCTCCTTAGAGCTCTTTTACTCTAATTAAATTTATTTTAAAAAGATCAGCTTTTACCCCAATTAAAAAAAAATAAAAACAAAATAAAGAGATTAGCTTTTTTCTGATTTTATTATAGGAATTTTCAAATGTACACAAAGGAGTGAAAACAGTTTTATGAGTGCCCATAGACCATCACTCAGCTTCAACAATTGTCAGCATTCTGTCTTTTCAGATATACTGTGTTTTTAGTCCAGGTTCTCTCCTAATAAAGAGACATTTCTAAATTCTCCTGGGACAAAAATGAAGTCACCCCCATCCCCTCCTACCCCACCCAAGCAACCTGAAACTGAAAATAAGGCTGCTTCTGAAACTTAAACTATGAGATCAATGTGTGATCATTGACAGCAGATAAGAGCAGCCGTCTGAGACAGAATAGCCTCTCAGGCCCACAAGATTTATAATGAAGGAACCATCACACCTACAGAAAGAATGGTCCAGTCAGGAAGAGGCATTGGTCAGTGGTGGAAGTCAGAAAAGTAAGTGTTCCAGAGGCAGACCTTGACTGTGCTCTCTTGACCTAAGCGCTTCCCGAGCTGTCTGCTGCAAGCCTCTAGTCTGCGTGGTAGATCCCAGTAGAGAGTAAGTTCACAGGAATCCTACGGAAAACTTCCTTACTGTGACTCCAAGTCACCTGCTCCATTTCAGCTTGCTCTCCAAGGTGGTATGTTGGTACACATCCACCCCGCTGGACAGTTATTTTCTCAGTATCCTCCTGTGTGCTTTGTTAGTAAGATCAGCATCCCTGTGCCTCCTCAGCTCTGGGGCACTTAGAGTGCCTGTCTGAGCCTACAAAGATGAGGGCCAGCTTCTGTGCAGTGTTTACTTTACCAAGGTAACTGCCCTCCATCCCTAGATGAGCTTTTCCCTCTTCCTCTTTATGCACCCTCAGGCTTCTATACCTGCACAGAATGTATCTGGCACCCTTGCTTGTGAAAAGCCACCCAGTTCTCACCCTTTATACTGTGTTCGCCCTGCTGCATTCTCTGCTGTGGTGTCTGGCAGTTCCCACCTGGCTGGCTTGAGCTTTGTTTGGCCCCTCTCAGGTGTTTGTTTCAATTGAGACATAATTCACATTCTGTACAGTTGACCCATTTAAAGTGTACAATTCCCCCTCAGGGTTTTTGTTTAAAAGATTGTACGTGAAGCTGCTCAGGAAGCAAGGACACAAAGCAGTCAATGATCCCCAGGGCTCTCAGCTTGGCAGGGCATTTGATAGGCTGTTGCCAAACCTCGGCAGCAGTGGGGTGCTCCCGCCTTGATGTTGTTTTCAGTTTTGGATCATAAGTGGATCACATGTGGGTCCTCTCCATCTTGTCTTGTTTTTAGCAGTGCTGCCTCTGGCATTTGACAGCCATGTGGATTGGGCAGAAATATATACCAAAGAACTCTTCTCCTTCCGTGTCTTCCCTGGGCCTTGTTGATTGCGTTTGTTCTGTGACCTTTGCACATTGTCAAAAGTACCTGTTCCAGGTGCACACCCAGCTGGTTCTGGTTGATGTGTTATATGGACAAAAGGTGCCTGGGCCTATTTAAAATAAAAACTGATTTAGTAAAGTATTTACATACCATAAAATCACTTGTTTTAAGTATACAACCCAGGGCTTCCCTGGTGGCGCAGTGGTTGAGAGTCCGCCTGCCGATGCAGGGGACACAGGTTCATGCCCTGGTCCAGGAAGATCCTACATGCCGCAGAGCGGCTAGGCCCGTGAGCCATGGCCGCTGAGCCTGCGCATCTGGAGCCTGTGTTCCGCAACGGGAGAGGCCACAACAGTGAGAGGCCCGCGTACCACAAAAAAAAAAAAAAAAAAGTATACAACCCAATGACTTTTGGTACATTTACAGAGTTGTACAACCATCCCCCCAATCCAATTTTAGAACATTTCCATCAGCCCCAAAAGATCCATCCCTGTGCCCATTTGCAGTCACTCTCCACTCCACACCCCCAACACCAGGCAAACACTAATCTACTTCCTGTCTCTATTGATTTGCCTTTTCTGAACATATCGTATGATTCCATTCATATGAAGTATCCAGATAAGGTACTTTTTTTTTTTTTTGGTTGTGCTGGGTCTTAGTTGCGGCAGGTGGGCTCCTTAGTTGCGGCAGGTGGGCTCCTTAGTTGTGGCATGCAAACTCTTAGTTGAGGCATGCATGTGGGATCTAGTCGAATCCGGGCCCCCTGCATTGGGAGTGCGGAGTCTTATCCACTGTGCCACCAGGGAGGTCCCCAGATAAGATACTTTCTAACTGGTGATTTCATTGACGGTTGCTTGCAAATTAACAGAGCATTTTTTTTACTTCAGAGTATGCTTTTTCTGCTCTACTAGTTACCTGTGATTTATTGGTGTGTGTGTGAGTTTCTTGGGGTGTTTGTTTTGCATAGCACCAACCTTTTTTGTCCATAGATAGATGTTTTGTGGAACATTTGGTTTCTTGCCCATTGTTGTGATGTATTTTGGGAGACGCAAGAGAAGCACAAATCCTGCTCTCTGTGCTTTCGAAAGGCATCCCCTAGTTGGTGAGGTAAACCTAGCAAACATGAAAACAACTAGGGAGGAGTAAATGACAGCATATAACCAAGTTTTGGGCCCTAGGATGTTTTTATTTGAGATGTTTATGAAGCACCCTGTGCTAGGCCCAGGGCAGGGTGGAATGCCCTGATGCCAGAAGGCAGAGATGTAGGAGGCCAGGGTGTAGGGAGAGGTGATGTGGACTTGTGATGCCAGGAGGGGGTGTTATGGTGGTGCAGAGCACACGTTGAATCACATGGTCAGGTTACTCCCTTTCCAAGTTGCTTTCAATCCTCCTGATTCCTCCAGGAGAAAGTCTCATTCTAGTGCAGGTGATACCTCCAGCACTTGTTTATCTGTCCCTTTTTAAGAGAGAGCAGATTTCTAGGCCTTCTGCAGGCAGATCTATCTGGCTGCAATTGTAACATTGTTCTGTTTTCCTTGTACTAGAGTGGGGCCAGATTTTAGGACACCTTGTAACCCAGCCCATCTTGGTGTGCTCATATTGGGGGAGCCATCATAAGCGCCGAAGCAGAGGAGTGACCTTAGTTGTCTCTGGAAGGTTGGCAGTTGGGGGAACTAACATTAGGGAGCTTCTTTCTGAGGCTCTTGTGGTAATTTGACTATGAAGTGGCCTATCCTGGCAGAGAGTAGACAGGAAAAGTTAGGAAAGGTCCTTCTGTGGGGCGCTAAGAGCACCAGACCGTGTGTTTCCTTCCTGACCGTGTATTGCCAGCTCTGGGCTTTCTTTTTTTTTTTTTTTTTTTTTAAATTAATTAATTAATTAATTTTTGGCTGCTTTGGGTCTTCTTTGGTGCATGCAGGCTTTCTCTAGTTGCAGCGAGCAGGGGCTACTCTTTGTTGTGGTGCACGGGCTTCTCATTGTGCTGGCTTCTCTCTGTTGTTAGTTTTTTTTTTTTTGCGGTACGCGGGCCTCTCACTGTTGTGGCCTCTCCCGTTGCGGAGCACAGGCTCCAGACGCACAGGCTCAGCGGCCATGGCTCACGGGCCCAGCCGCTCCGCAGCATGTGGGATCTTCCCGGACCAGGACACGAACCCGTGTCCCTTTCATCGGCAGGCGGACTCTTAGCCACTGTGCCACCAGGGAAGCCCGCTGGCTTCTCTTTGTTGTGGAGCACGGGCTCTAGGCGCGTGGGCTTCAGTAGTTGTGGCATGTGGGCTCAGTAGTTGTGACTTGTGGGCTCTAGAGTGCAGGCTCAGTAGTTGTGGTGCACAGGCTTAGTTGCTCCGTGACATGTGGGATCTTCCCAGACCAGGGCTCGAACCCTTGTCCCCTGCGTTGGCAGGTAGATCCTTAACCACTGTGCCACCAGGGAAGTCCCAGCTCTGGCCTTTCAGTGCTAAGCTCCCCTTGGCCCAGTGAGACGGGCACATATCCAGAAGGATCCTGCAGTCTGGATTTTTGCCTTTGAAAGTCCTTTTTCTATACTGGATGTGTGTGTGTTTGATAATGGGGGCAGGGACCAAATCAACACGCAACTGAAATTCAGTTCAGTCTGGTGGGTTGGTGTCTTTGTTGTTAGATGATGCCTTCCTATACAAAGAAGGAATCACTAGGTAGGCCTGATGGCGACACTTCAGAAGCAGCTCACAGAGGAACTGTGCTGAAACTTAAGGCTCTGGTTCTCCTCTTGGGGCTCTGGAAAGCTGTGGGCCTTCTCCTACAGGTCTGTGCATGTTCTGTCTTGCCAGAATTGCCCTGCCAAGCTAACTGGTCTCTGGTTGATTGTGTTTTAGATTTTTGCCGAGTTTCGAAGAGTGTGGGAAAATGCCGGGCCTCCATCCCTAGGTGGTGGTACAATGTCACTGATGGATCCTGCCAGCAGTTTGTGTATGGAGGCTGTGGAGGGAATGACAATAATTACATGACCAAGGAGGAGTGTCTTGCAAAGTGTGCTGGTGTCACAGGTAAGACAGTGCTGTTGGGGAAGTTTTATTATCTAGAGACACTTTATTAATTGGGACATTTATAAAGTTCTTCACTGCTGAAACTGGGAGACGTTTTTAAAAGCAGAAGAAACAGGCACAGTGTGAAGGTCGCCCACATGGTGGTTTCACAGCGGTATCCTCCCTCCTCTTCCCAGAAAGGGGAGAGTAGGCCACAGACTGGAGCCAGGGGAGGGGTGACATGACTGCGTCTTCTCCCCAACTTCCCTTCTCCCACTACTGAGAGCAGGTCCCATGCCAGGCCTGGTATGAGCAGAGTCCTCCAGGTCTCCTCGGATGGGCTGCCCTCCTTGCTTCCTGGGCATTTGGGTTATTTTTACCTTTGGGACAAATGACTTGAGGAGCTCACCCAGCCAGCCAAGTTATGAATCAAGTTAAAACTAGAACATACTTCTGGAATCCATCCTTCTCTCAGCCTTCGTGAGGGATTCTGTGGAATCAAGATAATGTTGACCCTGAGAGCCTCCCAGTGTAAATAAAAACCTAAAGCCCCACAACAGTGTGCACCGGCTCTGAACGGAGCCTCGAGGGACTCCCTGAGACCTGATGGCAGTGCGATATTGGCCCTCTGGGGCCTGATCCTTCCTAGGTGTTCCAGAGACCCGCGGATTGGGCCAGCCAAACTGTCAAAGATTTTCATTGGCAATTTCCTTAACATTGTTACGGGACTTCTTGCATCCTTTCCTGACAGCTTGGCGTCAGTGTTTAGACTCTGGATTATGATTCTGTGTCAGAATGTGCTGGTGCCCTCAGTGCTCACCGCACTGGCTGTAATCTCTCTTGGCTTTGAACTCTGCATTCAGAAATCAGATAAGCTTATTAAAGTTTTGTGTAAAGAGTGGAAGACAACAGTGGTCTTGGCTGTGAACTGAGGTTTAAAACATAATGCACAGACACACAAGCCCAGCAGTGACTGAGTGCCTTGAGGAACATTTTATTGATCTTTGTGTGCCCAGTGCCCGGAAGGCGCTCAGCAAGTGTTTGGAGAGCCGAGGTGGCTGGTATTAGTTTTGGATTGTACAGATGAGTTCCTCATCTGTTTTGGGGCGGGGGTGGGGGGGCAACTGGCAACCTTACCAGATGGTGATGGAGAAAAATACCATTTATTGTATGTGGTTTTCCGCCATCAGCTGTGATCCAGTGTCAGGGAAGGAATTAAGGGGAAATGTTTTTTGCTACCTTTTCTGTCCTTTTCCAATCAGGAGTTGACAGTAGCAAATGTACATGCCGTTCTGGTTACTCCTTGGTTTCTCAGGGGGAAAGTTAAGTTTTAAGAACACAAGCAGTGGACAGTGGGCATTAAGGCGGGATGTCTCTGCAAGGAGCCACAGGGTGTAGTGTTTTGCTGGGAGAAGGCAGACAGCTATCTTCCTAGAGGTCAAGCCAGAGTCTGGCCCCAGCCTCGACGTCCCGGAAAGCTCATTTGCTGGCACCCGAGCGTGGCTGCGCTGCACAGCTCCTGAGGCGTTCTCTTTGCCAACATATTTTCTCCCAGGCAGGCAAGCTCTGTGGGGAACCAAATGATGAGAATGCCAGTTTATTAATTAATTATAATGAGAACCAGAACCACCAAAGGGACCAGACACTTCTGTCCCTGTGCCTGCACCCTTAGTTTGTGTAGGCAAACCTCTCAGCGACACTCCCAGAACATCGCTTGTTGAGGGGAGAGGCAGAACTGGAGGAGCTGGTTTGTGATGGGAATGTGTAATGGTATCAGGTTAGGCCAGCCCCACGCCTCTGCACAAGGGAGGGTTCCTCCCTCCTGGACCCTGCCAGCGCTCCCTTTTTTGCACTTGCACCCACGCTCTTAGCTTTGTGTGTGTGCAAGATAAAATATACATAACGTGGGCTTCCCTGGTGGCGCAATGGTTGAGAGTCCGCCTGCTGATGCAGGGGACACGGGTTCGTGCCCCAGTCTGGAAGGATCCCACATGCTGCGGAGCAGCTGGGCCCATGAGCTATGGCCGCTGAGCCTGCGCGTCTGGAGCCTGTGCTCAGCAACAGGAGAGGCCACAACAGTGAGAGGCCCGCGTACCACACACACACACACAAAATATATATATATATATATATATATATATATATATATATATATATATACACATAACGTATAATTTAGCATTTAACCATTTTTAAGTGCACAGTTTAGTAGCATGAAGTACATTCACAGTGCTGAGCACACCCTTCACTTTTTAAAAAATATTTATTTATTTGGTTGTGCCGGGTCTTCGTTGCGGCACATGGGCTCCTTAGTTGCAACTGTCAGGCTTCTTTGTTGCGGCAGGTGGGCTTCTTAGTTGTGGCACACGGGCGCCTTAGTTGTGGCCTGCAAACTCTTAGTTGCGGCCTGCGAATTCTTAGTTGCAGCATGCATGTGGGATCGAGTTCCCTGACCAGGGATTGAACCCAGGCCCCCTGCACTGGGAGCGCATAGTCTTTTTTTTTTAACACACCTGCATCTTTTTTTAAAAAATAAATTTATTTATTTATTTTTGGCTGCATTGGGTCCTCATTGCTGCACGGGCTTTCTCTAGTTGTGTCGAGCGGGGGCTACTCTTCATTGCAGTGCGCAGGCTTCTCATTGCGGTGGCTTCTCTTTGTTGCAGGGCACGGGCTCTAGGCACCCGGACTTCAGTAGTTGTGGCACGCGGGCTCAGTAGTTGTGGCTCACGGGCTCTAGAGTGCAGGCTCAGTAATTGTGGTGCACGGGCTTAGTTGCTCCGTGGCATGTGGGATCTTCCCAGACCAGGGCTCGAACCTGTGTCCCCTGCATTGGCAGGCGGGTTCTTAACCACTGGGGAGCGCATAGTGTTGTTATCCACTGCGCCACCAGGGAAGTCCCACGCCCTTCACTTTTTTAATTCATTGGATGAGTTAATACAGTTCCACAGGTTATTTGGCCCTGGAAGCCATTCTGTCTTTTTATAATGTCATTTCACACGTCTTTGCTCGGATTCCCAGCTGGTTGATCTTAAAATTTAACCCACAAGGGCAGTCTTGGTTCCTTATTTTCCAAGTTCTGGCAGGTTTGTGGTCCAGCATGTGCACTGAAGGGCCCACATAAAGGAGAAATGGGAGTCGCTGTGAGAGGCACACAGGACCAAGCCTCCTCAGGGATACAGCTTGTTTTGTTTCACCAGGCAGTCTTAGAGGTACACTTTCTCACTGTGCTGTTTATTTGTCCTCTTGTAGTGAACACCATCAATGATCTGTCCAAGAATGGAGCAGATTCCTCTGTCCCAAGTGGTAAGTTCTTAAAAAGACCCAGGATGGAATGAGGGCCATCCAGATGGCTAATGTGAAAGGACATTTTTAATTTGGGCGTTGTACAAGGGCTTCCACCTCCTGGTTCTGTTTACTCAGAACTGGGGAACAGGGGCTCTGCCTGGGCTGCCAGCTTCTGGCTCCTGGCCAGCATCCTTCCGCTGGGGAGTTCAGCAGACAAGAGGGCTGAGGGATTCTACAGTGCTTCCTGGCTGACCTCAGCTTCCTCCTGGGGGATAAGGGATTGTGGCTACTGCTGCATGTGGCTCAGACCCCTTCCCCCGCTTTGGGCTGGCTTCCAGTCCCCTGGCCTCAGCCTTCGTGCTGTCTTCACTGCCCTGTCCCACATCCTTGCTTGCTGTATCTCCTTTGCTCCGTGTCGTCCTTGCTGTCCATCTCCCTCCCTGTGCTAAGAGTCCTCTGTCTTCTGCCACCCCTGCCTCCGTTCCCACTGCAGTCCTTGATCTGGAGCTCTGTGTTAGCTTGCTTCGTAGTGCTGACAGCAGCTGCCCCATTCCTCCTTATGCTTAAAGGACTCTGCACCAGGAGCCGGGGGTGAGTGGTTCAGACGCACTAGTAAGTCCAGTCCAGCTTTCCCAAAGGCCAGTCCCCAGGCAGTGGGTTCTGCTGGGTGAGACCTGCTGTGGAGGGAGAGAGTCCCCGCCTACCCCATTTGAGGATGGCCCCCAGTCAGCTACTGGCCACACACTGGTTGCAGTCTCGATTCTGGTCCTTTGACTCTGACATCAGCACCCACGTGAGAGTGAGCATTTATTAGTTCAGTGGATTTGAAGAATGCTGAGAGTTAGGTTAAAGTCACTTTCCAGTTTTGCTAGGCTAGGAATCCTGTGACTGTCCTGACCATTGCTTTGCCTGGGTTCATTGCTTATTCCCAAGCTGGCCTCTGCAAGGTCATCCAGAGCCATGGGGCACTGGCATCGCAACTCTGGTTTCTGTCCTGTTTCAGAAGAAAATTCCCCCAAGAGAATAAGGGACCCTCCTCCCTGTGTCAGAGAGTGGACACCTCTGGTCTTCCTCATCACCCCAGAAACTGTGGCTGGGATTAGTTTCCATAGTAACCCCTGAGGTGACAGGCAGGCTTCCCCATACGGCATTCATTCTGTGTGTGCCGTAGAGCCCATTAGGACTGGGAGGTGATGGAGCAAAGCTGCCCACAGAGGGGAGCTCCACTCCCTTCCAGGTACCTCAGTGGGCCCTTTTAGACTCAGCCCCAGCTAGGCGACGTGCCCTGTGTCCATTCCAGCCTCCCTGACATGGATGTTTGTGTTTCAGTTCCCAGAAGGCAGGATTCTGATGACCTGTCCAGTGATATTTTCAACTATGAAGGTATAACTTTTAAAAAACATGTTTTCTTACTTAATTGGGAATTGAGACACACTTGAGGATTTCCATTAAGGGTATTGTAGAGCAGGGCTTCCCGACCTTTCCCAGGTGTTAGGACTCATGAGGATGCCCTGGGGCAGCAGGAAGCAGGATGTGACACAGCACGCCCTTGGGAAGCTTTGCTTGAGAGGCAGCAGTGGCGTGCAGGGTCCGCCTCCCACCAGCTGCGCGCTGTGGGCGGGATACTGTAGCTCTGCCTCAGAGTCCCTGACTATGAAATGAGGGGCCTAGTTCAGACCTCTCTTGAAAGTTCAGAGACCGAGTTAACACATGTAGAGCCTACAACAGTGACTGACATAGAATAACCTCCATAACAGTGTAGTCTGGCCATAAAGAGAAAGATATCTGAAAATGTGGGCCAGAATGGCCATGTCTGTAATGGCCAAGTTTCTTTTGACAGAGAGATGTTTTCCCCATTGGCTGGCAGTCATATGACTGCTTGGGAGCATTCTAGCTCCATTCACCTCTCCTGGGCCCTGCTAATTTGTATCCCTTGGGCTGTCTCACTCCCAGAACACTGCACTGCCAAGGCCATCACTGGGCCTTGCCGCGCATCCTTCCCACGCTGGTACTTTAATGCCGAGAAGAACTCTTGTGATAACTTCATCTACGGCGGATGCCGGGGCAATAAAAACAGCTACCTCTCCAAGGAGGAGTGCATGCAGCGCTGCTTCGGTGAGTCTGCCTGACTCCTAAATCCAAGAAACAACCATGGGCAGATGAACCCTCCCGAGAGGACACCAGTCCCTTTCCTCATCCCTAAAATGAAGGCCTTGGAAATGCTGTCATTTGGTCTCTGCCATTAGTCTTCTCTGGCTCCCTGGTGGGGAAGGGGGTGGGCTGTGGCTCCAGCTGTTGGGCACATGTGTCCTAGGTCCCTACTGGGGTGGCAAGGTCTCAGAACCCTCAGAAGAGCTGGAAAAAGCCGTTCAGAAAGAGCGTGAAGGCCCGGGGCTGAGGGGAATCCTCAGGTGGCTGCAGCTGTGAGGGGAGGAGGGCTGAAAGCTGACCTCAGGGTTGTGTGTTTTCTTCCAGGCAAGCAGTTGTATCCTGCCCTGCCCCGCACTAAAGGTAAACGGCCTCTTGCCCCCTCCACCTGCCTGCCTTGACTAAGCTCAGCTGTGTTTTTTGCAGGCTCATGTTGTCTTGGGCACATCATCCTTCACTGTAAACATCGTTTTGTTAGAAAGTCGTGTTTCTGCACGAGAACGGCCAGGCAGCTTGGAACATGTGGTGGATGTTTGTCCCATTGTACAGTGTAATAAACGGGTTAGGAGTGAGGCCGTCTCTGCCTAGGCAGCCTGGGGGTGACTGGGGGACACCTCCTACTGTTTGAGGTGTGTGGGATCTGCTGCACGCAGGCCTGGGACTAACTCCAGGTTTTGGGGGGGATCTTTACTGCCATGGGGTGTACAGAGTTGGTCATGGGTGATAACAAAGGAGGGTGGAAAGCCCTTGCCATGTGTGGGTGGAGCATGGCCCCAGCCAGTGCTGTTGTCCCCAAGCAGTCTGGTCTGACAAGGAGGCTAGGCCTCCTCTAGCTTTTGTTTCTGATTCTGAGCCTGAATCATGGATGGTAGTGTTTGCACAAAAGACCTGCCACACTGGTTTGGCCTCTTTCCACCTGTTTCCCTGTTAAGGAGTCCAGGCCTGGCCTGTGTGTCTGCTCTGCTTTAGAAGAGAAATAAAACTGGAACCTGGTTTGCCAGGCATAAGGATCTGGACGGTTGGAGATGGAGAGTGAATTGACCCTGTCCAATTCTGCAGCCAAGTGGGGAGAGGGAGCCGGGTACCTGCCATAGGAGGCCACATTCCTTAGGTGGAGCCCCACCTGAAGAAAAAGCATCTTAACTGACCAGTGGGACTGCAGTGGGGCAACCACTATTAAATCTACCTGGGCAGTTAGGAGCATGAGGGTCCCCTCCTGGCCCTGCTCCGAATATACCCATGCCTCTGCCCTTTCCTCATTCCACAGGCAGCCACCCCAGCCAACTGCAGGGCCACATCTTTCTCTGTGGCTGGTTGGGGGAGGGGGGTGTGTGTTTGCACACACACACCAGAGATGTGTGCTTTTCCCGTACAGATTGCCGCAGAGAGGTGGCAGGGTAGTACAGAGTTGAAGTGGGGATTTTTTGTTCAAAAAGGAGGAACACAAGTAGCCACTCTGTCCATGTGCACATAGCATAGCATCTCCTTTTTTCAGGAACCTACTTCTCAAGACTGTAGGGACTCTCCTTGAGGACTTCCTGTCAAGCAGTGTCAGTTCTCCAGAGCCTTCTGGGTTGGGGTGGGGGGACGTCTGGCCCAAGGGCTGCTGGTCTACCTCCCAAGCCCACGTGGACACTCTGGCTATGGCCCGCCTCGTCCTGCTGGTTCTGAGGCCTCTCTCTCATCCACAGTGGTGGTCCTGGCAGGGCTGTTCGTGATGGTCCTGGTCCTCTTGCTGGGAGCCTCCGTGGTCTGCCTGATCAGGGTGGCGCGGAGGAACCAGGAGCGCACCCTCCGTACTGTCTGGAGCTCTGGGGACGACAAGGAGCACCTGGTGAAGAACACTTACGTCCTGTGAACGCCCTGTCGCCAAGGGGCTGCCCTCCTCAACCCCCTGTTAATGAAGAGAATCTGCGAAGGGAGGAGAGACAAGTGTCGAACACGTGTGTGCTTTTTCAAATAGAGTGATTTGTCTGTATTTGCGCGATCATTAGGGCTTTTGGCCTGTTTGTTAATCCAGAAGGTAAGAGGGCTGCTCCCTGGTCTCCCGGGATGGGTTTGCTTTGGAAATTCTCTTAATGAAGGGCTGTGCACGTTGCAGATGTTCTAGCCCTAGATCGGAGTCGGTTCCTCTTCAATTTATTTCTTTGCTCCAGGTATAGTTTTCTTAGCTTATGTTGAATCCTGTTGCCTCCTTTCCCATAACAAAAGTGATGTTTTAATAGTTTCCTTTGTTTGTTTTCTGTTTTTTTTTTAAGTAAGCAGAAACATAAGTTTTTTTAATTAGGATTCTGAAAGGAAGAAAGTTAAATGTACAAGTTTAATAAAAACGGCCTTCCCTTTTAAAATAAATTTCAGCATGTGCTTTCTTTCTTTGTGGGACTGCTAATTTAAACTCTACCAAAGTTACCACAGGACACTACAGGAGATGTCCCATTCCAGAAACAGACTTCTTAAAAAACAGCATCTTTCATATCTTCTTTTTTATTTTTTTTTTTGCGGTACGCGGGCCCCTCACTGGCCTCTCCCGTTGCGGAGCACGGGCTCCGGACGCACAGGCCCAGCAGCCATGGCCCACGGGCCCAGCCGCTCCGCAGCATGCGGGATCCCCCCTGGACCGGGACACGAACCTGCGTCCCCCGCACCAGCAGGCGGACTCCCAACCACTGCGCCACCAGGGAAGCCCTTTTCAGATCTTCTTGAATAAAATACATCTTACATTCCAACTGAGTGCCCATAAAATTTCACCAAACAACACTTAGCCTTACCACCTGTGGTAAGCTCTGATATTTTCTTATTCTATTTCACTTTTTAAAAATTTCGGCCTTAGGGACTTCCCTGGTGGCACAGTGGTTAAGAATCCGCCTGCCAATGCAGGGGACACAGGTTTGTTGATCCCTGCTCCGGGAAGATCCCACATACCGTGGAGCAACTAAGCCCAACTAAGCCTGCACCCTAGAGCCCGTGAGCCACAACTACCGAAGCCTGCATGCCTAGAGCCCGTGCTCCGCAACAAGAGAAGCCACCGCAACAAGAAGCCCACGCACCGCAATGAAGAGTAGCCCCTGCTCACCGCAACTAGAGGAAGCCCGCATGCAGCAACGAAGACCCAACACAGCCAAAATAAAATAAAATAAAAAAATTAATTGGGCTTCCCTGGTGGCGCAGTGGTTGAGAGTCCACCTGCCGATGCAGGGGACACGG